ATGCAGCGAAGATACCTGACTTTTGCAAAAATAAACCCGAGAGTTTTCGGGACCATTTAATATCTGTATTTTCCCCTCTGTCATTTACCGGTGATTGAGTAAATTCCACTCTGGCCTAGCACAGGACAAGCACCAGAATGATTGTCATACACCTGTATAATCTTGAAGATCCAGATTCCAAGTTTCATCCAGCCTGCTTATTATTAATACTTTTAAGCTAGGTGGATATAATCGTGCGTTAAAAGTTCACATTTTCGAATTTCTTCCACAAATTCATATTACATACTCTTATATTTTAAGCATGTGTCCCTCTTATGCGTTGCCTCCCACTTCTCAATTCTAAACGTTTCTCATCACCCCGCTTCTACTCTTTTCAACGCATTCCTGAACCTACATCGTGAACCTTCATCACGTTTCCTTGCACTTCTTGCAGTTAGGCAATTTAAAACCGTGGATGGTCGGATGCAGAAGACAGTGGAGTGTTGTGCGGGAACGAAGGGGAGAGCGTGCGGGGCTTTGGTGCGTAGCGCACGAATTAAAGGAAAGGAAAGAGAGCTTGGTTGCGGATGATTTGTGAATCTTTCCTGATATACGCAAGACGACTTACGCTCGGAAGTTGAAGGAGCTTCTGCGGCAGCAGTATCCGAAGAGATACGCGTTGCTGGATAAAGATAAGTTTACCGAACATAGTCTTAGACGCACAGGAGCAACACGTCTGGCGCAGCAGGGTGTGTCGGAAGCTGAAATAAAGGCCAGTGGTTCTTGGAAGGGCGATTGTTGGAGGATTTATGCGACCCGAGCGATAGCTGAGAAGACTACAAAGCATGCTGGTATTGTCTTTGGTCAGTCAAGCTCCAGCTCGACAAAAATATATGAGCTTATAATCACCCGTAGAACGTACGAAGTTATTCCACTTCTAACCCCTTGGCATTGAGCAGTTTAGGGTATTTGGGATGGGGCGGCGCGATGCAGACTCTTTTAACATGGTGGGGCTCTTGCGTATTGCACTGTCGCTCCCGATTTCCTCGGCCTCGACCGAGAGGAGTTTCTCCACTACGCGTAGGATCATGGATTACTTACGTAACTCTACTGGAGATGCTAGGCTTTCGAACTTGGGAGTCCTCAACGTTGCTCGTGAGAGGCTCGAAAGCTTGAATCTAGATGATGTTATTGATCTTTTTGCAGAGTCCAATAGAAGAATGCTTTTGAAGTAGCCCACATTGTTTTCGCCGTAGTGGACGTATCTGAGCCTTTCCATGGAACTATTCTGAGGGACCTTAAGCGAGGATAGTATTGTTAGCAGGCGATTTTTTCTTTCATCAGTGACTCGAGTTGTGTTTTCGAGTCGGACCCCCAGGAGAGATCTATTGCCCCCCTGTCGTCCCCCTGTGATTATAGGCCTGGAGCCGCCCCTGAGTCTCATACAATAAGAGAGCCATTCACTACTTTGGTGTCTTAGAAGTCGGCATCTGACAGATCCCGGAATTGGCTGTGACACCTAAGGTTGAGCTTGATTTCGATGTCGAAGAGCATATGGTATCCTCAGGTCTTAGATGACGCATCTGCTTTCTAAAGTTCTAAAGTTCACTAGTTGGAGCCGGGGAGATGCCTTCCGTCCCAAATGGTTGGGTTCTCCACTGCAGATCTCATTCGATATAGTTGGCCTGTTCGAGTGCTGCTGGACAGTCGGGATTGGTCTGCTGACTACCCAACTTACTATCTACTATCTACGCATTCTATGGACGGTCATCTGTGCGATATCGGTACATTCGAACGGTCGCTGAAAGAGTAATCTACCTTCAGGATCTCCTTTATCTTGGACAGTGTACTCCGACTTTGAGGTACACGCTCTAATTCATGACCCGTAACATTAGTGTATCTTGTGTCTTGTGAACTTGCAAAATCTAGCTTCAAGTATAATCGGAGGACAGTGAGTAGCAATCGGCGATATGATACCAATCATATTCGCCAGATAGCATTTAATCAAAAAATTACGACGCAAGAATCAAAACCCACACCCAATCCATCTGAGACACTGCCGGACCCGTAGTGCGGCCCAACAACTCAACCACAAATTCATCAAAAGCCATTATGGGCATAGATCTAGCGAAAAAGTAGCGAAAAGGTAGCGAAATAAGGCGCGCGAGATTGTCGTCTACATAATCTGGGCTTTTGCTAACTCAACTGGGTGAAAGCGGCACGTTCTCTGGGACTCAATCTGCTGGACGTTTGAAACGTCACGTTTGAAACGGCTCCTCGTAGAGCGACCGGGGGCGCAACGGATAATCATACAAGATATACTAAGAGCTCCCAGAAGCAGTCGAGCGCGAAATGAATCCCATGATAGATGTATATGTTCCGATAACAATGAAAGCGATCAGTAAGACCAATGACAAATAAACACCCCACAACTTCAAACCGGCAGGCCGAACTATGCAAGCGTAAAACCATAAAGGCCACAAATAGAGAGAACCTAGGAAAACCAATCAGCTTGAGAATATTATTCGTTCTTACATAAAGTTAACAGCGTGGATGCAACTGCTTGAGAGTAGGCGAGCTCGTTCTCCACTAAAATGGCTCCCAGGGCAGCTGCAACCATGAGAAGGGTTCTCACCACGAATCGCCAAGCCCTGAATCGACCGATACCCGACGTGAGCTCAATAGAAGTCTGAAAATGCGATGAAAGTTAACAAACAAGAGAAGAAGGATGAGGTAGCGCTCTGCACCGCTCACCAGAAGACGACCAACCGCAGTCTCGCAAGCAACCATAAGCGGAACCATGATCACCAACATGATGCTGAACATTCTTAGAAGGATGAAGGTATACAAACCATATTTCAAATACGATGGTACCACAGATGCACCTATAGAGGGGATCGATGTGAGGAAATAGTTGAAGCTCACTATGGAGGCTCGCTGGGTAGAAGTCGTCACAAACACCATCACATATCTGCATACCAGCCACCCCCATTATGTATACATACACGATGGATAGAATCAAGCAAATAAGGATGGTCCATGTAACAGAGCGATCACTCGCACCTGAGTTCACATGGGTGATGAGTCATCACTGAATCATCAGAGTGGTATCGATAGTCGTCA